ACAGTGACGTCCTGCATGTTTAAGACAGTGACGTCCTGCCTGCAGTCGGTATGTCCATCAACGGGGGCTGGAGGGCAAATGGGGCCAGGTGGGCCGCGGGGTTCCTCACGAGTGATGGTGGGGGGTCTAACGTGACGTGGGGAAATACCCACCCCAGAGGAGGAATTCTAAAATTCTCCTGTGTTTTTAGCAGGAATCCATATTTTCTTTTTAAAAAAAATCAATATGTGTGAATATGCCTAGAAGGATTTACACAGGTTTGTTAACAGCCGTTATCTCTGGGTGATTTAATTTTCTCCTTGTTGGTTATCAGTCATTTCTAAAGAGTCTACAAATAACTGCATGGCTTTCGTGCTAAGGAAAAGTTATTTTGTCCTCAAAATAAAAAGTTCCTCAGGTAGGAAAAAAAAAAGTTCTCAGGCAAAAGACAACTTTTGTAGAAGTCCTTATTCTTATTTTTAGAATACTTTTCTAGGTATTTTCTCACTTACGCTGCACAGCAGTCCTTCTGTTTATTCTGCTGTACAGATGAGAACAAAGTCTGTGGCTTGCCCAAGGTGACACAGCCAGCAAAAAGCAGAATTAGGCTTCCAAACTGGGTCTCTGAGGCCAAGGTCAAGGAGAGGCCATGGCAGGAGCGGGGAGCAGGGCTGGGGGCTGCCTTGAAGGGCGGAGGACAGGGAGAGGCAAGGAGAAGAGGTCTAGCAGCTGGGAACTGGGAAGCCTGAGCTGGAGCCAGAGGATCAACATGTGCGTGCAACCCCCCCCCCGCCCCTCCCACCCCCACCCTGCCCGCTGGCTCGCAGCCCCTGTCCCTGTCCAAGTTAAATATTAAAAAACCCCATTACGCCCTGATAGTATCACAGCAATCACACTCCGTGTGGAACCGCCTCCGATCCACCGGAGATGCGGCCGGCTATTGGGGGAGAGGAGGAGAGGGCCCCTCGTGGCTGGGCTGGGGGGCTCCGGATAGGCAGGGCCCAGGCGGGAAGGGCAGACTAAGTGAAATTGAGCAACACAAACTTGGAGAAACCGAGGCAAGGGTGCATTCACATTCGAGCCCATAGACATCTGGAAAGAGTCAGGGAAATAGACTCGGGGGCTTGCGTGGGAACAACTACTTCGAGGAGTTCCAGGACCACCCTCCCGCCACCCCAGCAGCTGCGGGCTGCAAGCCCCAGTGGGGACTGTGACCCCGAGGGCTGTGACACGGACGGGGCGGGAGTACCCCACCCGGCAGCTAGCTGCATGCTCAGAGCGACAGCGGCACTCAGAAGCAGCGAAAAGGCGCGTGTTCAGGGACCGCCTCGCCCTAGCTGCGGCACCCAGGAGTTACATGGCACAAAGGTGCGTCACTGGCGGGGCTCCCGCCTCTCCCCCACCCATCTCTACCCCCTTCCACCCAGCCGGACTGAAAACGGGGGGCAACAAAGGCGTCCCTCCGGCTCACCTCTGCAGTCCCACACTGGCACTGTCTGGCCCATAGGAGGGTCCTCAACGTATGCTGGAGAATGCTGGGTGGGCTTCCCCTGGCCAGCCCTTGCCACCCCCGGGCACCCCCATACATGGGCACCAGAGGAAGTTGGTCGGACTGAGTCACTTTCGCCACAATTTTGTGACCCGCTCTGTGCCCATCACTCACCCACCCCTGGGGTGCCTGCCACCCCCACGAGGACTCACCCACGCCCCGTCTTTATTCAGCTGCCTTCTCCTACTGCTATTAAGGAAGCAGTGGGTTTTCCCTTTATCAAATGCCCGTTTCCACATTATTCCTTGCAAATAGAATCCAGAGGTTCTGTTGCGGCCTCTCCAACCTCAGACAGAGAGCTCCCTGGGCAGGTGGTGGGGCCTGGGGGCAGCAAGTCACCCTGAGCCTGGCTTGATCTGGCCAGGGATGTGTTAGAACACCGTGTGTCCAAGCTGATGATCCCGTGGCTTGTGGTCCAGCTCAGAGTCACAAAACCAGAGCCTGGGGAGACTGGTGCCCGCCCAGTAATCTGCATTTGAACACACCTCCGGTGCAGGCTGAGTCCTTGAGGTGGAGAAACCACTCCGATGGGAGCTGGCACCCCATTCCTGCACGTCCTGGGCTGGTGCTGGAGCAGCCCCGCATCTGGCGGCTGCGGCCCAGGCCACAGCAGCAGCTGGTGTCCTTCTGGCTCCCTGAGCTCATTAATCACACCCTGACGGGCGTGCACTCACACCCAGGGGTTGGCTGGATGGGGCAGGGACTCGCGAGGGGAGGCTGGGGACATGGGTTATAGAAGAAGAAAGCAGGAGGGAGCCAGGGCTGGCCACACCCTGCCCCAGCGTAACCCCAACACCCACTACTTGCAAGGTCAAGTTTGAGCTTGGGGAACCTGCCTGCCAGTGATCGGCAACCTCAAGATGCCCCAGTGACCCCACCTCCTGGCAGTCCACCCCATGTAGCTGCCTCCTCTAGAGCATGGGCCAAATTTAAATGCATTTAGTGAGAGGATATGGCAGCAGTGGTGAGATGTCACTCTGAGAGGGGATTATAGTCTGGGTGGTTCTGTCTTGGGGGCCCTCTTGCCCACTCTCAACTCCCTTGCCTTGGGGGAAACCACTGCACCTGTGGTGAAAACTGAGACCTGGAAACAACACTGTGGTGAGTGCAAGTGGCAGCAGGGGCCACCCCAGTGGGACCTGCAGAGGCGACTGAAGCAACAGCCTGGCAGCAACCAAGAGAGACAGACACCGAGCCAGAGACACTGAGCCACATCGGGGCTCCATAGACAGAAACTGTGAGATAATAAATGTCTGTTGTGGGACACTGCTCAATTTGGGGGTACCTATCGTGTAGCAACAGCAAGGGGCATCCCTCCTTGAGCCCTAGGCGATGGCCATCCCAGTTAACAGGTCCCGCTAATAGGGGGCTCAGGCCCCCAGGTCTTCATTCACGCAGACCCGCCCTGCAGAAGCCCTGGGCCACAGCGTCAACAGTCCGCTCCCAAGACAGCCCTGTGCTGCCTCCTCTGTGAAGCTCCCCACTTTCCGCAACCTCTGCAGCCTCAGCGGTTCCTATGAATGCAAGTCTGACACATCCCAGCCTCGTCACTCACAGCCCGTCTCCTCCACTGGACTGTTCCGAGAGGGCCGGACCGCTGCTGGTCCTTCTCTCTTACCTGAGGCTCCGCCCAGGGCTGACACTGGTGCCCGGTCCCCAGACCCCCGCCCCTGGCCCACCTGCAGTGTCCCCGTGCAGCACGTTTCACCGAAGAACAGAAAACCAGATTTGTGATCTTCCCGGAGAAACCGGACCTTGCTCCCAACTTCCCAAAACCTCTTGAGGATCATCTTCTCCCCGCTAGCTGGAACCCTGTTTTCCTGCCTCCTCTTCTACTCTTCCGTTCCAACTTGTCTTCCTATCTCACCGGATACATTGTCAGGTACCTCTGGATTTGTCACTTGTTATTGTCAGGTACCTTTTCCCCATCAGTGTGGGTGCGCCGTGCAGGCAGCTGCTCTCTCGAGATCCCTCAACAGCTTACCCACAGGCCAACGCTCCCATCTTGCACCCTCCATATTTCCTGGGAACTTTCTCTCAGAACATGGAAGGGGGAGGCACAGGCATTGAATAAAGGTAATAATCATTTCAACCATCCCTCTCCCCAGGCAAAACTTTCACCAGCTCCACTCAGGGGCCCGGGAATAGGGTCCAAGCACTTCACGGGCACATGAAGCACCCCGGGATCTGACTCCAGGGGGGAAATGCAAGGGACACAAGTAGATTCAACCCTTCTGTGCCATTGCCATGCCCACTCCAGGCGGGGCTTTGTATCTGTCATCGTGTGAACTAACACTTATTAAGCTCTTACTATATACTAGAAACCATCCTAAGTGCTTAATAGGTCTTCAATTCTTGAACCCTTACCACCCCCTCATGAAGATGGTGACGTATTATGCCCAGGACAGATAGCTATCAGCTGGCAGGGCTGGGACTGGCACCCAAATCTATCTTCAAAGCTTTCTTTCTACCACAAAGTACCTCTTGGAAATGTCCTAAGTTCTAAGATCGCAAACTACCTTTGTGATTCTTTGCCATAATCAACCACCTGTATTATTGTCTACTTAACGGTTTTCCTCACATTAACTTCAGTGGTAGGTGCTTCAGAAGGTTTAAGATCACCCTATCTGAGACTGGCTTCTTCACGTACTCTCAGGGCCAGCTCTCTGAGCCTCGATTTCTTGACATCAAAGAACGTTTGCTCATCGTCAGCCACAGCAAGTACTCAGCACACAGTAAAAGCGGGGTCCAGGAGCCCACCCCCAGTGAGACTGCACAGTGCCTTCTCTTGGTATTGGCAGTAGTCACGGGCCTGCTTCCACCTCCGAAAGGTGCAGGGGACTCTGCTTTCACCTTGAAACGTGCACCCAGTGTGGACCATCCAGAGCCAGGGTAAGCCTGCCACTCTCCCTCCTTCCTCCTGATGATCACAACATCCAAGACCGTGACTCCTCCATCCACTTGGCTCCCAGAGGCAGGACCCCAAGCTAACCCATAATGGACATGTACGCTGAGAAATAAACTTGACTGTTTTGTCACTTCAGCAAAGCCTGGCCTCTACTGACCGATACAGGAAAATCTCAAAAATGTTGACTTACGGCATTGACTACGAGCTATGTATTTTCTGAAAAAGGAAACCACATCTCTTTGGTAAATGAGACACAAAGCACCACTTCCCACCACCATTAGCCTTGTAGGAATTAAAGCAAGAAATGCTTGACCTCTTATTACAGAAATCATTTCGTACGTCCCTTGTAGCACACAGACGCTCCGTCATCCAAGAAGTGCCATTCACATGCCTCCCTCCACGAAGGCAAACGGTATCTGAATTTGGAAACCCTGGCCATCGAGCGCCTCGCGGCCAACTCCCGGCCGCTGCCCTGGCCAGCAGGGCTCCCAGCTGCCAGACCCACATCTGCAGCCTCCACGAACGTCGTGCACTTGCCAGGGCACCGCCCTGCTCAGCCCTTACCTCGGCAGACGGTGCCATTCTCCACGGCCTCGAAACCGGCTTTGCACATGCAGCGCCCGATGGGCACCAGCCACTCGCCGTCCCCGTTGCAGTAGAGCTTGATGGGCACGTCCACCTCCTCAGCGTTGGCGATGCAGCTGCCCCGGGCGGCCACCAGCGACGTGCTCTCGGCCCCCGACAGTGTCTCCTGGAAGACGGCGCCATTCTGGATGACGCGGGGGCACTTGCGGTAGAAGACACGCACAGCGATGAGGGACATGCAGCCACCGTAGTCCTGGAAGGCCAGGTAGAAGCCGTTGCGGGACACCGGCCCGAAGCTCCGCACCTCGGTGTTGATCTTCATGACCCGACCGCCCAGGTCCACCTGGGAGAAGCTCTCGTCGGCCGCGATGGTGTCCACCTTCACCCACGGGTTCTCCATCCAGTTGGGGAAGGTCTTGGTGGCCGAGTCGAAGTCGTTCTCATAGTAATAGAGGTTGAAGGTCTCCTTGCAGGAGCCTGGCACGCTGGGGATGCTGCTGCAGTCCCGCACGGAGAACTTCATCTCCACGTGGATGCGGTGTGCACCACGGCGCCGGATGAACTTGGTCCGCAGCCAGTTGTTCTGGCTGGACTCAAACACATTGCACACCTGGTACGTGCGGATCGTGTTCATGTTCTCGTCGTAGCCACTCACCTCTTCCCACTGCGGGTGAAAGGCTAGTCAGGTGGGGGAGCAGGGCTCAGCCGCTGCAGAGTCCCAAGAGGGGAGACACGAGCCCCGCCTGAGGGGTACATGGAACTCTGAGTGAGCTGAGTGAGCATTGTGGGCCTCCTAGTCTAAAGGGGGGTACCCATTCTACTTTGGGGTCTTCCAGCCTGGTAATGGAGGCCTGATCCCGACTACATGAAAACTCCCCAGCAGCACTGATCCCGAGGAATTCCCCAGTCGACGAGGGAGACACACCAGTCTGAAGGGGGTGTGGGGGATTGCCCGGGGGGCTCTGCCCCAAAAGTTCCCCCCCGGAAGAGAAGTGGGAAGAGACTCCCTGAGGGAACCCCAGATGCCAAAAGCAGTCGGAGTTGGGGAGCCTGAGGTGAGACAGAACACGGCCCCCTGGGAACTCCCTCCCTGGCCAGGGAGACACAGTCCTTGCCCTCAAGGATCCCAGGCAGAGCAGCAGAGCGGTCCTCACCCCTGTGGTGGAAGACAGGCCCTGCTCCCCAAGAGCAGCTCTGCTCTGGGCTTTCAGTGGCTAAGAGGGTACCTGGAGACTCCCTACCCTACTCAGGCAGGTGCTTCAGCACTGGGACACACCAGGCTGGGAACTCCCGCGCCTCCCTGCTGGAGGGCCTCGGGTGGGCCTCGGGAAGCTGGGGATGGGAGGCCCAGGGCCCTTGATCTGTCCGCACAGGCAGAGCTCGGCCGAGCTGCCAGCCTTTGCTCATAGCCCTCCTCCAGCACCGTCTCGCCTTCTCGGCCCACCCTTCTGGAACCTCTGCAGCAGGCTGTCCCTCTGGCCGCTGGTATCTGCATTCAGCAAATCTCTCCTGGGCCCTTGGGAACAGCCTGCCTGGGCAGGTAGTGCTGGGTACTCTCGGGCCCCTTGGTCTGCTCTGCAGTGTGGGACTAAGAACTTGCTCTAAGAACTTGTCCTGTGTCACCAGTGGTCCACCCAGCCTACATGCACAAAGGAGGTAGATCCCAAACCAGCACTGAGCAGAGCATCCCGGCCGCGCACCCACCCACCCACACTGGGCCGGGGGCGGGAGCTGGAAAAGGGCCTTGTTTCTCTGTTGTATCATCACACGGTGCTGTGGTAACCCCATCCACAGGGGAGGGAGGCCACTGGATCCAGGACGAGCCTGTGCTCCCTGCAAACAGAGGACCCCACGGTGCCTCGGGAGTCCTGGGGTCTAGTCCCCACTCTGCTAACTTGATGTGTGGCCTTGGGCAAGTCACTTCCCCTCACTGGGCCTTTTCTCCCCAGAGAGACTGGAGTGGAGGCAGGTGTTGGCGTAAGTGTCCCCTTCCAGTAGCTACTCTTTGTCCTTAAGCATCCACCAGATTTGCTAGGCCAGGTCTTCGCAGGGTGGAGCACTGACTGCTGGCCTATGAGGGGGGCTGATGCTATGACGGGTGAGTTTGTGGGCAGGTTGAGCAGGGGCCTGTGGGCCTCTACTCCAGTGGCGGCTCTGACGCTCCCTACATTGCATTTAATTTTTTTTTTTTGGGTGGCACCATGTGACAAAGTCAGCCCCTTGTTACAACCACTGCTCTTCTTCAGAACTTAATTAGAGCACTTAATTAGAGCACTCTGCCTTTCTCCCCTCTCTCTAATTAACATGCGGAGGCCCTGCAGCCTAAACACCCCAAATAATTGCGTCCGGGGGCCCTGCAGCCCAGCCTGGCCTCATTACTGGAAGGGTGGGGCTGTGGGCCCAGCCGCCTTCGCAGATGGAAAATTGGTGACAAGAAAGAGCCACAGAAAGAGGCCTGACCCTGGGGCCCTGCCTATTGAGAGCACCGGCCTGGGGGAGGGAGGGGTACAGCTCCCCGGGGCAGCAGCTGAGTCCCAGGAGAAGCTGGGGGGAGGGGGGAGTGAGGAGGGGAGCCTCAGAGCCCAGAACTATCCTAGAGGCCAGGGGGATGAGGAGTGAATGATACTAAAACTGATGATGACAACGCCGATGAAGGCGGTGACAGTCATTACAGCCACTTGTTACTGGGACCCGATTTTATGCCTGGCAAGGTGCTGGACACTTTGTGGGAGAACACCACAAGTGTCCTATCTTATCACCATTTTACAGATGAGGAAACTAAAGCTCAGACAAGTTAATCAACTGGCCCCAAATCACACTCTGAATGGCCAAATGAGACAGGATTTCGGGAACCTCTAACCCCATAGCCTGCCTGAAAGCAGCATCTGGCTGCTGTGGAGACAAAGAGGAAATCTCAAGTTGTGCTCATTTTGCTCTCAGGGAGTATGAAACTGACATGGGCGCAGGTCACTGGGCCCAAGGAAGTGTGGTCATAAAGCTCAGGAGGGAAACCCATAACGGGGTGCCAGAGGAGCAGAGCACAGCCCCAGAGACAAACCCGCGTCCCATCACTTGCTGCCGGTGGCTCCCTGGCTCCCTCCTTTTCCTCACCTATAAAATGGAGGTGATTCCTCCCGCTAGAATTGGAGATGTTAGGTGTAAAGATTCTTGTTAGGACATGTGGCACACCCTGGGTGCTTAGTAGATGCCGGTTTTCCCTCATCTGTAAAATGGGGTACCACTGCTCAGCCTTGCCCTCAGGATCCCATGTGATAAGAATCACGGCATGCAGCGCGTTGTCATGGTAACCTGGCTCCATCCACCGAAGGACCAGGAGGGTGGAAGATGACAGGCTCGGCCTGAAGGAGGGAAAACTACTGGGATGTGAGGGGCACCCAGAGCTCCCAGCAGAACTGGCCATATCCTGAGGCACAGGCAGGGTTGGGGACCACTGACTCACCCCTGATGGTGGATGCACAATCCAGCCCAGCTCTGCCGTGGCCGTGGTGGAGTCCATCAGTGTTTCTGTGGGGAACACAAAGAGTCAATGTACGCCTGTCTGCAGAGCGCTGTCACTCACCCCGAGGCCCCCCCCACTGGGGGGAGGGGCTCTTCTGTATCCAGTCCCACTCACCTCCACTGCACCGATCTCGTGTCCATAATCCTACCAGATGCACCGATCACGTGTCCATAATCCTACCAGATCCCCGTTAGGATCCACCCCCCCTTCCATAACCCCACCCACTCCCCTCCTCCAGCCAATCAGCTGGTACAATTTCTCTAGATTCTTCCCCTGAAGGGCCAACTCCAGCCCTTCCACTCATGGTCATGCCCCACCCTTCCAGCCACTCATGTCCCACCAACCCCCTTCCCTCCTTAAAGATTCAGAAGAGCTTTAACCTGGAGTGTCTTGCATGAACTTCAAAATCTATGACGAAGTCTTGAAATTGTGTCAAACTGGGGTGTCTGTTCATTTTTTAACTTGCACCAAATTCTTTAAAAATGGGCATGGGGATCTTACAGGGCTTGGTCCCAGGTGAGCCCCATCCTTAGCCCACATCTTAGCGGTCTAGCCCACACTTCTAGTCAAGAATATTCTCCCTATTCTCCAGGAATCTGGAGTCTCTCGTTATGTCCCCATGTCTGGGCCCCTTCCCTAGGGCTGCAAATCTGCCCCTCTAAGGCCCTAGGGGGGAAGGGTGCTGCAGGTGAGCACTGCGGCCCAGGGGGTCTCAGAACATGCAGATGAGTTTCTGAACCACCCAGGGCCACAGCTGCCTCCCCTCATGCCAGCAGCTGGAAGGAGCCACACAGCTTGCGACAGGAGCCGGGGAGCTACCTTCACCCCCAGATCAGGCTCAGGACCCCTCCCTCCTCTCTACCCTATCTCTGACCCAGGGGCTTCAAAAATACTTTCTAAACTGAATTGCAAAGTATTGGACAGATTGAAAAGGGCCTGTTTGAAGCATTCATTCAACAAATATACCTGATGCTGTTATATACCAGGTACTGTGTAGGCATGTACCCCAAAGTAGACAATGATGAACAGCAAAACCCTACTACAGAGCAATTCAGTCTGATAGCGGAGATGCGTATGAATACAAATAGTCATGAGAGAGTAGGCAGGGAGATCTAGAAGGTCACAGCAGACCCCCTAGCTCAGTGAGAGTGAGTGAGGTGCGCTTGCTGCTGTGCTTCCATTTTGTGCCCAGGGCAGACATCACCAATCAATCCCTGTACTTTGTGGCTGTACCACGCTTCTGGTCACACTAGTCTAGGAAACCAACTCCCACCTTTGGAGGTGCTATCTCGGGTCCAGCCCAGACACCTCATTCTACAGAGAGAACATCTGAGGCACAGACTGAGGGAAGGACTTCCTGAAGATCACAGGGGAGGTGGTGGGAAAATGGGGTTGCACAGCTCTGCCTCCTACCCTATAGCTTCTAGACTTAGTTTGAATACCTGGGCCGGATGAAGTAGGGGGATGAGGGTGGGGGCAGGTGTCCAGTTTTCTTTCCTCGTCTGTCCAGGTCACAGTGCAGGTTGAAATGGGAGGCAACTAGGAATTGAACTAGGGCAGGGAGCAGGGTAGGTGGAGGAGGAGGGCAGAGAGTGGGAGGAAGCATTTGGCCAGCAGTGACCTGTGGCTTGTGTTTGCGGTCACTGTGTCCCTTTGCTCAGGGACTAGGGAGGGGTGCCAGGGACGTGGAGCCCAGTGCCAAGGGCATCTTTTTGATGGCAAATTGGAGGGAAGTTCTATTGTGCTGCTTTGGAGCTGAAAAAAGGGTTTCTTTTCACACTCCGAATGCTACAGATTTTTCTTCCTGGAGAGAACAAGGGCTGAACTTTTAACCTGTTTTCTCTCATCGGCCTCAGCCAGAGACGCGCCAAGCCGGGCTCTCTGCCTGGGCCCGGGGAACAGCTGCCGGGAGCCGTGTTGAACAAGGGAGAGGAGAGACTCTACTTGGGACAAGAAGGGAGTCGGGTGGGGGAAGCCAGCCCGCCAAGCAGGTGGCCCCACCCCTTGGCTGAATTCCTGGGCTGACCCAGAGGCCAAGCACTAGAGGATTCCACAGCCCAGAGGAGGGACTAGAAACTGACATCCCTGTTGTACTGGGGGAAAACGCAGGTCCAGAGAGGGCAAAGCACTTGCCAAAAGGCACATACTGAAAGCTGGTGCTCAAACTCTGGGCCCCTGAGCAGCTCAGGCTGGGGCGGGGCGGCTGTGGGGGCCTGCCTCTGCCTTCACATCTGGAGCAAGCGAGGCGAGGCTTTCAGAAGGACTGGAAGTCAATGGGCTGACAGGTTCACAGACAGGAAGGGCTAAGAGGGAGTGTAAAATGTGCAGCGTCCCCCCAGGGAAGGGTGCAGAGGGCAGCAGCTGGTCTCCCTCCTGGAAGCCTCACTGAAGGCTGCTTCCCTCTGGGCAGTGGCAGGAGGGAGCATCTGGGCTTGCAATGTGCCTTCCACTTTTGCTTTGCACGTTTGACTTCCCTCCTATCTCTGCAAAAGGCAAGTAAGCAGAGCAGGGGGTTTGCGTTGCGATTTTTCTAAGCCTCAGTTTCCTCACCTGGAAAATGGTCCAAATGTAGAAATGGTTCAAGAGGCTCCAGCTTAGGTTGCTGGGCTCCCCCACCCCCAGACATCTGACACATGTTAGCCTCTCACTCAGTGGCCTCTGGGGAGCCCTAACCTAGCTGTCTGGTGCTGCTTTCCTGGGGTGCCTCAAGTACCCTCTTGTTCCTCTTCACCAAACGCAATGTCAAACTCAGTCCCCAAGAACGCTGGAGTTAGTAATTCTTGCCTCAGGGACCCGGGGTGGGCTCAGGAAGCAGAACCCAGGTCCACTTCATCCTTCTCCCCAGAACACCCCAGAACTCTACAAAAGAAGAGAACTCAAGTCCGCTGAGACAGAGGCTCTGTCCATGAGGAGCCAGAGACCCTCGTAGGTATCCTCACCATAATCAAGAGAGAGCTGAGAGTGTCCCATTTCACAGAGGAGAAAACCGAGGCTTCCAAAGGCCAGGGCTTGCCCAAGGTCACACATTCACAAGCTGCGCTCCAGATACCCTCCCTCACTCCCAGTCCTCTGACCGCCTTCTTCTCCGCACCTGCTTTTCCTGCCCTAATTCCTCTCCTCAGTGGAACTGTGGCTCAGCTCACCTCTTAGCAGCCCTCCTGAGTGCACACACCCCACAGCTCGGCAGCTGCAGGTGTGGCACACGCACGTGCCCTGAGTAGGCCCGCCCATCTGCCATCCTCTTCCAAGGAGCTGTCGTGCCCTGAGGGTAAGGGCAAGTTCTTCTGGGGCCCTGAAGTTCCAGCACAGAGCTTGGCACAGAACTACTGGTCTTCGGCTAAACTGTGGGACTTCAGCAGATGCTCGAGTTCTGTTCCTCCAGGGCCACTATAGGATTCAGCCATTTCCACATACAACCGATGCTAGCATTTAGCATCTTTTTCTTCTCATTGACTGCTTTTGTTCTTAAGTACAGTTTAAAGAGGAAAAAGTAATCATTACGTATAGATGGAAAACCAGTATCACTTGCCATGAAAAGAAGGAAAATAAACACAAAGCTATTACAGCGGATTGTTCATCTGCAAACTCCCTCTTGGCGTTTCACTGCCGACACTTTGGGGACCACTGGGTCTGCCTCTGAAGTGCTGCGAATGTCCCCAGCCCCAGCCCACCGTGACAGTGACAATCCCTCACGCAGGGGAAGCTGTTTCCCCTGAGCGCAGATAATTAATCACCGCACCATGTCACAAAGACGTGGCGGGGAGTAGCATGGGTGCTGGGGGCTGCGATCGGGGTGTGGAGGGAGAAGGTGCCAATGTACAGGCGCTGCCTGGAGGCCATGACGCTGGCGTGGGGCCTCGAGGGATGAGTTAGACGGGAGTCAGGAGGCCGGGTAGGAAGGGCGTGCCAGGCAGCGGGACAGCGGGCAGAGGCAGGGGGCGAGGCCTGCGTTGTGGTGACTGATGGCGAGAGAAGGGGGCAGGGGTGAGCTGAGGGCCCAGCCTGCAGAGGCAGAGCAGGGGCTGCCCAGGAAATGTCAGCAGTTCTCCCAGGCCCCTCCTGCTGGGCCATGTCCGCATGCCCACACCTTTGCCAGGTTCCCTGGTGCCGCCCCGCCCCTCCCCAGCTTAACCACCTCTGAGCACATCCACCTACCCACCCCACAGAAAGGGCCAGCTCCAAGCTCAATGCTCAGAGTGACCATTAAAAAGATCCCAATGGATAGAGGAGGACAGCGAGGCCGTGTGGGCATCTCAGCCCCCAGGCAAAACTGGAACCGGGCCTGTGCCACCGGCCTTCCTCGGTGGGGAAACGGGTCGGGCCACGGGGTGGCTCTGGCCCCAGCACACTGCCCCTGCACCCCCTCTCCTTCCTGGAGGCTGTACAGAGGAAAGCAATCAGGAGGCCCTGATTGCACAGGCTGGGGAGGCCCCCAGGCCCCTCTGGCTGTGTGTGAAGGAGCAGTGTGCATTGCAGAAATATTTGAGCTAAAAGGGGAGACACACTGAAGTCGTTAGCATAAGGCCGACAGGAGGTGGCTGCTGGGGGCCCTGCAGACACCATCGCCACCCCCTGCTTTCAGGCTGGGGCCGGTGGTCACCCTCTGCTGCGACCCTGGTCAGCTCTGTCTGACCTCCTCTCGGGCCAAGGACTCTACACGTGGACAGCACGCCAGCGAGCCAGACATGAGCGTGACTTCCATGAGGCCCCTATTGTGCGACAGGCATTGAGCAGAGAACCCCTCCACGATCCCCATCTTACAGATGCGGAAACTGAGGTCAGAGGTGATGTGGGGGCGCGAGGGCACGCGGGCGGGCAGGCCTGGGATCTGAATCCACGTGTGCCTCATTGCACATCTGTGTTATTTTTAAGATGCTGCAGCTATAGCCTTAAAAAAACAGACGCCACAAAACAGAATCACCAAGGCTCTTTGTGTGTTTACTCTCTCCCTCTGTGTGGGCCCGTGTGAGGACGGGGGTGGGAAGGGAAGGGAGCTG